CCACCAAACATGCTTGCCCTTTCAGCCGGGGGGGCGTTATAATGTGACGATCAAGCCCACTATTAGTTGGTAAAAGAGTAGCCCAACAGTTGGCGGTGGGTGGTGATGACTAACTGCCTTCCCTCTAGTCTTTCACTGCTAAATTAGGAACGGCTAGCGCAGATATCCCTCGTGTAGCTTTGCGCGAAATTCAAACCAAACCAAACCAACCCATTATGCCACTGTACTTTTCCTGTGAGAATGTAGAAAATAAAAAGAAATTATATTTATACCACCAGTCCTTTCTCTCCGTTCTCCACTGAAAATCCTACGACTGCATTATTTATAAATTATCAATCGCTACAAGGTGAATAAGACGTCATTTAATTTTATTCCATCAATGGAGTTTAGTAGTAACTAAAATTATCATTGATGGAATTGTTTGTTACAATTACAATCCGTTTATGTCCTAATTCCCTACAATAAAATTCGCTGGTATTTAAAGAGTGGGTAAAAGTAATCTGAAATATGAGAAGCGACAGAATCTAATGAAATTCTGTCAAGTAGACCTCAGCTATAGTGGATGTAAACATGGGCAGCCCTTGGGATGGGTAACGTGTGCTCCCGCACAGAGAACCCACACAAGGGGGCGCCAAAATCGATAGTGCAATTAGCAGTTTTTGTCAATTTTACAGGGGCAGGGGCACCGAATACAAAGTTCGCACAGGCCACAATTCTGCCTATGAGAGACGATAAAAGCTATGACTGACGAACTACAAAATGAGTCAATCTGACAGGGTTAGACTAATGTTGGCAACTGCAAACGTCATGCTGAACAAAACAAACATGTTTTAATCATATGAATACTTTTTATGTGAACTGTAGATTTTTTTTGTATGTTATTGAAGTAGCACTTTAATTACATTCCGTTCAAAAATAACCTTGAACTGTGAAGAAAAGTTTATTCGATTTAATTTACCCTATACACCAGCGTCAATTGAACAGAGCAGTGTTATTGTGTACTATATAATGACAGCATGTTGGTTGAATTCATGACTTCGTTTTATTATCAACTCATATGAAAGTTTCACGACTTATTATAAATAATAACAGGTTTCTATAGTTTTTCTGAGAGTAGAGGAAGTGGATCTGGTAATCTCAGAAATTTATGAGATATTTTAAGTATTTACCAATAAGTTCTTGAAACTGCATTACATTCTTTCTGCTGTCTCATAATGAAATAACGCCCTTTATGTAAACTGTATATTACATTTATTCAAGCCCTTCGTTTTTACTGAACTTTTCTGGTAAGTATGAAGCAGGGAACAAAATAAGAAGCAGAAATAACAAATAGAGAGAAAATAGAAATAAAAAGAAAGGCCCATTAAAAAAAAACACAAGAGAAAAAGGTAAGAAACCGCCGAGCGATTCGTTTAATATCGTTTCCTACTTGTAGAATGTGTTATAATTGCGCATGCGTAGTGTGCTATTTCATTCTCCTCGCCAGTTCGCGGGCTGTGAGCTGTCACTTGCTTTTCAAAGCGTAGTTTCGTCTCTATCTTCTTAGTCGGTGATCTTGCATGAGGATAACAAAAAAAGTAAGGATTTTCTAGTTTTTAGAGCATTTTGCACTGTGCTTAAAGTAACTATTTAGATTTAAGAATGCCGTTACATTAAAATTTTGTGTCAAAAGTTGTTTGTTTGATAATTTAAATGTAGACAACTGGATAAAGAGACTAGTACTACTGGTAGTAGAAAAGTACGGAAATCCTGAATCGCAAAGTGAAAAAATATCGAAGTTGTTATCTCGTATGTTTAAGTGAATAAACTGTACAATAAATATGCCTAATTTTAGGGATTATATTATGATTAATAATTAGTTGGTGTGTTCATATGGATTATTTTATAAAGGAAAATTAGGTGGTGTGTTTGTTTCATAATTACGTTTCACGTTTATAGCAGTTACTTGATAGTCAATTTAAAAGTTCGTACTGATCACCTAGAAGTCACGTTGGTGTTACTGTACCTTGAATATTACATGCCCATAATAATGATAATGTACTTTATATTGAAATAGACTTCTCGTGAATCAGAATTTAAAGTTTATCTGGGTCATATTTTCAGGGTTTCCGTATCAAATCATTACATTCAGTAATTATTTAAATCAAGATACACGATAGTGTGTCGTGCGGCCAAAACAACTTGTAGGACGTCGTGTGTGTTATTAACAGGAGTGATAGTTTAGCGATATTCCACTTTCTTTAGCTCGGATTGTGGTAATTCAAACTATCGCATATTTTCAGGAAGTGTGCTCTACAGGACCCTTACTTCACTTACTAGATTTCAAGGCAATCCGTTACGAGATACAAAATATCGAATTTTGATTGAACTTTTTTTTATTTTTTTTCTTCGCATCGAAAGTACGGAAACTTTATTTGATAGGAAAACATACTTAACGTTTATGGATTTTTTTTTAATTTGGTACACTGATCGAGCTATAAAACCTACAATTAGGTGTCAAATATGGTCGAAATATAAGAAACGCGTGCAAAGTTGTTCAACAAAAACCGCTCAAATTTAAACCAAACTTTTTGGGCACATCTACACAAAAAATCACGTGAGCTATCGGTCTAAAAATTGTACTACAGTTTCACTTTAGGTTTTTATCATTCGGATTAAAGACGGCTGATTTAGAGCAGCAAAGCGAAAGGCTAAAAGGTCGTGCAGACTAGATTAGCAGTTTCTAGCTCAAGTTTTCAAAAAGATCATACGGATGGACGGTTATTATTCATTATTCGTTGCCAACTTTTAAGCACAACTTTACTAAATTCAATGAAATTCTCCCTATTAAAGTGCATTTAGCGTTACATAATATTAGCGTAAATAATGATGCTTGATACGGCTGTTCCGAGTGCATGCGGGTGATGACAAGAAACTGTTAATCTAGATTTCATGGCGTTACTATAAAGTAAGCTATAAACACTGTTTTAGAGAGAAAAACTGGTGCTACTATAGCGTGAGGTCTACCTCCCGTTAGTACTATAGCGGGTCGTCCACCGCTGCATTATCCATCCCTCATGGATATCACACATTGCCATACATTTATTTTAGCGATAAACACTTAATTTTATACATTTTTATACATGTTTGATAGACCTGGGTAGGCGACATATGGCGGTAGACCTCACGCTATAGTAGCACCGAAAAACTACCACCATATATTTTAAAGAATGTGGCTATTCGGATCCTAAAGCTAATGATTGTTACTATAGAGTGTCACTTACTTATTTGCTGTGGTTTGTTGGTATTGACAAAAATTCATGACATATAATTAAAAACACCTTAGATGTGAAAAAAAAGGCGCCGTCAAAAAAGGATTAACGGTGCGACTTAAAGAAAATGAAATCAAAATTGGGTGCCAAATTGGTAGCTACACTTATAGCGTTGATAAGAATTTTACAGCAAATATTCATTCATTAATCAGCTAGGCCGCGTATTTTGTTTTACCTACCACCATACCCTAAGTTGAAATAGTAGCAAGAAATAGCTGTTCGATGGAGACTGAAATCTAGACTTTCAGTTATGAGCGTCAGAAACTTTAGTACCTACTAAGGTTCAACAACAATTAGTTAAAACTTGTATTTCAAAATGTGAACTTTCAATTATAAACAGTAGAAACATTAATGTTTATAGTGCAGGAAGATCGTGAAGTTTGAAATTTAAACTTTCAATAATGAATGTTAGAAACATTAGCATCCGCAAAGGTTAAGTAACAATTGGTTCATCGTAGGGTTTAAATTTGGATTTTCAGTCATGAAACTTTGAAACATTAGTGTTTACAAACATTAAGAAACAACTAGTTGATCGTGGATCTCAAAATCTGGGGTGTTTTTACGTATTATGTTCATTAAACTTGTGTAAGCAGACGTTTTCCATGAATGTATAACCTTAGATTACACTAATAAATTGTTGATGCATAAAATTAAGTATGATGGATAAGGAGCTGTTCAGTTTAAGGGAGTTTAAATTTCAACTTTTAATAATAGAAATTAGACTCATAATAGGGTCTATGGAGGTTACACTACCTATGGTTATGAAAATTAAATAACAGTGTTGTAACTCAAAACGCTTTTACGATGATACGCTTAAGTGACTGTTAGCAATTACAAGTTACTGTTCATTCTATGTTTGGAGGGGGGGGGGTAAACTTAATTTTCCGCTGCTATACTCGAGAAATTAAAAAAAAAAGGTTAGATATAACGTTGGTTATTTGTATAAAAATCTATAAATCACATCCTATAGCCTAAACGTTTAAGTAGATTAATCAAATACTTAAAATGTTCTGAATAAGTTTTTACAAACCTGGGTTTAAATTACAGTATGTATATAGACACCAAAATTTATAATGTACTTTACAAAGTAACAAAATATATTCTAGCCACCGTCGTTAAATTTTAGGAATATAAAAACGTAAGCGTAAAAATGTAGTCCTAGGTATAGAGGAATACAAAACTGGAAACATAAAATGCAATTCTAGGTACACAGCAATACAAAACTAAAAACAAAGGAATACAAAACTGGAAACTTAAAAATGCAATCCCAGGTACACAACAATACAAAGCTAGAAACGCAAGAAAATGTACAAGAAGGTACAACGTACAGGGTTATAAGCATAACGAAGTATTAATGCATGAGGATAAGAAATATATGAATATAATTCAAAACTAAAGTATTTCAACTAACCTTCTCAGCGGTTAAATAACGACGTAGTGTCGTTGGTAAGTACACTAGCAAAATCTAATTGTATTAGACAACGCAATAACACAAAAAAACTTTTTTCGAGTTATAAAGAGAAATCAAATTAAATTTAGGCAACTAGAAGTTATTTAATGCGTGTGACGTATACTTACACTGTTGAATGGTTGATACAATAAATTATCTATAATGGATATGAGACTGTTGGGATTAAGGGAGTTTAAACCTAAGTGTTTAGTAATAAAGAGCAGACGGATAAAAAATCAATAAATAACCTGTGCTATACAGAAGCAGCGCACGTTTAAAACTGACTCGTAAATGTGCGTTTCTCCACACTACCCGATTCTTTTTTTTTTTTAATTTCGCGCAAAGCTACACGAGGGCTATCTGTACTAGTCGTCCCTAATTTAGCAGTGTAAGACGAGAGGGAAGGTAGCTAGTCATCACCACCCACCGCCAACTCTTGGGCTACTCTTTTACCAACGACTAGTGGGATTGACCGTTACATTATAACGCCCCCACAGCTGAAACGGCGAGCATGTTTGGCGGGACGGGAATTCGAACCCGCGACCCTCAGATTGCGAGTCGAGAGCCCTAACCACCTGGCCATGCCGGGCCTCACACTACCCGAGAGTTCAGGTTTTGAATTTCAAATGTTCTATCTTCTACTCTCTCGTCCCCCAGTGGCACAGCGGTATGTCGGCGGACTTACAACGCTAGAAACCGGGTTTCGATACCCGTGGTGGGCAGAGCACAGATAGCCCATTGTGTAGTTTTGTGCTTAATTCCAAACAAACAAACTACTCTATCTTAAGTGCTTACTTGCGCCTATCAAGTGCGACGTTTCGCATCTGCGTTACCAAAAATTTCAGGTGTGTTCATATTTCGTATGCCATACTTAACCTCACGATTTGTGGAGCTCTAGTGTTGTTTGACTGGTTCTATTAAAAATAACGAAAAACAATTTTAAAAGGATTTAATTTTTAAAAGAAATTTCTAGTTTACAAACAGGAAAAAATCCCACAGTGAAACTTTTATTTATCGAAGTTTTACTATTACATCCTCGTCAGGACATAAATGTTGTTATACAAATTTTTCGGATCAACACAATCCAAATAAAGGAAGATCGTTAATTTCCCACACACACAGTAGCGTCCAGTTGGTATTTTCCATATAGCTTTCTTTGTCCTGCTTTCTTTGATATACCGGGTAATAAAGGCCACACCAGAAGTGAAACTGCTTAGACTGACCGATACCTTTTACAGTCTTGTTACTTTATCTTCGTTGTACGATTTTCCTTTTTTTTTATCGGATGTTTTGTTTTTTAGTAAATAGCTAATAAATGTTTAGAAATAAATAAAAATTACTTTAGAATTAATTATTATAATCATTAGATTTACACGAACTGTACATAGTGACAGAGAGTTAATTACTCTTTAAAAGAAAGACTTGTATATATATATATGCTAATATAGTGGTGTGTCGCCGCAGATGGGAGTCATGGCGACATGTTTAGCTTCTACACACACATTTAATTCACAGCAAATTCAGCTTGATGCATGCAGTGATGTCTGAAGTAGATTAAGTTTATGCCTGGAGGATTTTATCACAGCTAATTTTCAGGAAAGATTATTCTTCTAGCGAGATGTAGAAGTAAATGACACTACATTTAAAAAACAAAGGATCATCCTTTAATGTTCTCCGTGGAAGCGGAAAACTTCGTATAACGTTTAGGACAGCAACAGTCTTCAAAACCACATTTTAAACAAATCGAAAGCTACGGCTTCACATGCATAATAATGTGAGATTTGGAAGCAAAAGTTCTAAACAAAAACAACATTGT